CACAATACAACCACTAACCAATGGATTCCAGGTACTTCTAAGGACGATAGAGAAAGTAAAGGAGTGGGGTGTGATAGAGAGGGACTGGGAAGCTAGGGAGGACTGCTTTGTCTAGAGTGATCCAGGAAGGCCTCTCTACAGAGGGGACATTTGAATTGAGACCTGAATGAGGCAGGCATGTGCAGAACTGGGGAAGAGCATTCTAAGCTGAAGAAACAATAACGAAAAACCTTAGGAGAAAGGTGAGCTTTTAATAATGTCTGGAAATGAGTGGAACAGAATGCTATTGGTGAGGTTACAGATTGGTTTTTATTTTACTTTGTTTGCTTACCCGTAATATTCTTATTCTATAATTGACAGGGATTAATTTTAAGAAGAAGAAGAAAAAAAGTGCCCTGGCTGGTTAACTCAATGGTTAGAGCATTGACCTGTAGACCAAGGGTGGTGGATTTGATTCCCCAGTTAAGGGCAGGTACCTCGGTTGTAGATCTGCCAGCCCTGGTAGGGGCAGGTATGGGAGGCAATCAGTTGATGTATCTCTCTCACATTGATATTTCTCTCTCCTTCTCCCCTTCTCCCTCCCTCCCATTCTCTCTGTAAATCAATGAAGAAAATATCATCAGGTGAAGATTCAAAAAAAAAAAAAAAAAAAAAAAAGGAGAAAGTAATATAATAATAAAATACACTTTCATCTACAGCTTTAAGTGGCAATTGCCCAAAATGATTGCTTACAGTAAAAAAGATAAAGCCTTAATCTGAAAGCAGGTAGGGTGTGCTTTGCCAACTGTATGCTTGGAACAGCCCCTTTTATAGAGCATTTCCACCTCACCATGCTTTGATTGGGAAGTAACTCATTTAACCTGGGTGGAACAGTCTATGGAAGCATGAGGAGGGGATTAATTTTAAGAAATTAAAGTTGCACATTTGCTAAAGAAACTAAGTCTGGACCAGTGGTTGGCAAACTCATTAGTCAGCAGAGCCAAATATCAACAGTACAATGATTGAAATTTCTTTTGAGAGCCAAATTTTTTAAACTTATACTTTTCCTAATGCCACTTCTTCAAAATAGACTCACCCAGGCCTTTGTTATTTTGTGGAAGAGCCATACTCAAGGGTCCAAAGAGCCACATGTAGCTCACAAGCCACAGTTTGCCAACCACGGGTCCAGACTAACATGATGGCCCTGTGCATGTTGGGGCAGATTTATTTGGGTTCAAAGTTATGATAAATGAAATGCAGCCCATTTTCTGTTAAAATCAAATGGGAGTGGTGCGGCAATCCTGAACATGACTTCCAATTACACAAATCTAAATTTAGATGCAAACATGCTATATGATCCTAGAACAGGATCTACAGGCAGCACTGACTGCCAGGCAGGGGAAAAAAAAACCATCTGCCTTCTATTGATTCTGCAGGGAGCAACTCACTGAATCATCACATTTCTTCCCAGTGAAATAAGAACTTTGGTCTCTGGTCCATTTTCTGATAAGAGGTTAATAAATGATCCAAGGGAAAACATATATTTGAAATCACGCTATGTTGCTATTCTCAGTTTCTTTTTATTCAAATCAACTTGATTTAATCTCCAAAGACTGGCTGTTTGCTGTGGCAGCAAAGAGAAATGTGATTAGAACCACACAGCTGGTTAATTCACTAAAGATGCAGAAGGTCTATGGAAAAAGGAGCTTTAGTCCTTTGCAAATGATGAAAAGTGAACAATTCAAACTTTCTTTGGCAAAAGAAGGGAGAGACTTTGAACTCCACCGGGCTAAATTTTTATGAGCAGTTGCACCACAAAATTGAAATTAAGTATGTGTGGGATCTGGATTAAGTATACCTTCGGGGGATATAGAAGGAGGAGGGTTGAATGCTTTGGAGGAAGACCAGCGGGGAAAATCACTTTCTGTAAAATGTTGCTTTCGTTGGGCTTTGCCGAAAGGGTTTTTAAGATTTATCTGATCTCTGCAGTTCTATCAAAACTTACCTCTTAATGAAAAGCAGGGTGGATTTAGAGTCATCAGGGGCCCATTTGGCTGAAACTTCACTGAAAACTGAAGGCTTGTAAGAACATTTATATTAAACATTTCAGCCTCCTCGACTTTCTCTCGGATGCGTCTATTGTTATAAAATAAAGTTTTGAACTGCTCTGAAGATTCTGAATCTGTGGTGTAAAGCAGTTTATGAAGCAGCAAGTCTGTGTGCTTTCTGTACATCAGAGGACCTCCCAAAGTCCGGTAGGACAAATAACAAAGACTACTGTTCGCTTGGGTTACGTGTAAATCAAATAAACGTGCATCTGACTAACATCTTGAATATTAGGAGAGACAAGGCATCTGTATTATTTTGAAGTGTTAATTGGGGTCAGTTCAGTTATTACATTTATAAATGAAAAAGGTTTGCCCTTCAGAGAGCATGATACAACTATGGTGTTCTTCCAATCAGGGAAATTTTATAGAAATCATAGAACCATTAAATACATTGATGACTCAGATCTATTTTTACAAAGGTTTCTGGGAAAAAGATTCAAAATCAGTTGTCTGTTATCAAAAAATATATAACAATTTATTAAAATAATTGGAAAGCATGAATTAAATAAGGAGTAGTAATTAGAATAGATTAATTAAACATCAAATACAGGTCCTTGAGTGCAGATTCTGCCCTGGATATAACAAGCATCAGTCAATTGGTGATTCTTTTGCATAGTTATTAAAACAACCTATGAGTGATTTTTAACTTCTTTCCCACCCAGCTAAAAGCCTTCTATCTGTGACTTTACTCATCAAAGAGGCTTTGGACAGCTGTACCCTGCCACTGAACAACTGGTGACAGTCATAATTAGTCTTGATTGATTGGCTGAAATGAAAAGTGAAGACGGTATTCTCTTAAATTCATTTATGAGTAGAATACGTCCATGAGCAGCTCATTCTGTAAGTCTCAGGAGAGGAAGAGCCACTCCTGGACAACCTGACATTATAGACCAGTTACATATTTTTACAGCAGTTACATATCTATATATTCTTTTCAAGTTGGTCTTAAAAACTGAGTATTTTAAACACACATGCCAAATTGGATTTTCCTTTAGAATCTATAACAAGATGCTCTGCCCATTGAAAAGGTGTTTAGGCCTTGGTAGATGGTACAATAAAATATATTTTTCTTTTTTTGTGACATAATTAATGTAGGACATATTAGTTTCAGGAGTACAACATAATGATTTCATATATATATATAGGATGCAAAACGACCACTATACTAACTCTAGTTGCTTTTCAACACAGTTACAATTTTTTTTTTCCTGATGAGAACTTTTAAATATATTTGTAAAAACACAGAAGAAAATCTCAAACTCAAGATATAACATTTACTTTAAAAGTTGATAAAGCTCAAATGTATGATTTTAAACTAAACTGCAAATTGTAAACATATCTTGGAAACTTTCAGTAAAACAAATGCAAAACTACATATTTTTGTCATAACTTTTTAGAATGAGGGGAAGGGAGAGAAGGACTTATTTATTAAGGAGCTGAGAGAAATGTACATAAAATTATTAGACTATAAACAAAAGCAATAAAGTATTAGTAAAATCAACATGTGATTCTGACATCTGGAATAATATTTTAACAACATTTTTCTCTAGGTAAACTACAATAATCTCTAAATTCTAATAGGCAGTAAATGACTAAGAACACAATTGGGTTTGTGGCGAGCCCTGCCAAGACCTAGGACAGTAATATGCTGTCCAGACTTGTGCCTTCCGAAATGCTCTAAGAACTATGGCACCAGTGTCAAGCCGTGGACCACATATTAATAGAGTGTAGCTTGGTTTCTATTCATGTAAAAAGTAAGTTTAATCTAAATTCTGGTAATAACTTCCTGACCCCACTGGATTCTTCAGTGCATTTTCTGAGAGGCATGAATAGGACTTTAGAGACTAATGCTTTTAGGTGCTTTAGTGAGTTAAAACCCCAAGATCTAAGATAGGTTACTGTAACTCTTCAGTCTATGACTGACTCATTGAGCTCCAATTCAAATAACCTTAATTATTCATCTGACTAATATTCTTTCTGTGAATAATGGTCAACTCTGCCTTAATATGACTATGCTAGCCATTTAGCTTACACATATTTTTGCTTTGGTCCCTGGGGAAGAAAAATCAAGATGTTGGACTGACTGTTTTGTACGTAATTTGCCACAAACACCCTCCCTAAGTTGATAGTATTCGGGGGCATATATGTTAATTTATAATTAATAGGAAGACATCATTAATAAACTATACTTCCCATAAAATATTAACATATTGATTAGCTGCATTGGGAGAGAGTGCTTTGGGATAAATCTTAGGATTTGTCATCGAACCTGCAACCTAAGGGCTGTGCTGTTAGAATAGTAAAACACAGCCTGTTAGACATGCTGCCCACCAGCTTTCAGAACCAAATATAATGCACACTAGGACGTAGTGCTGGAGCTGAGAGACTGGCACTTATCCAGGTGAACTCTGTGATTCCCCTTGATATGGTTAAATAAATTAGACTTCTACACTTCCCTTTCAGGCTGCCAGGCTGGCCATTAAGATAGGCAGGTAGAGATCTAGAAAGTTTATGTGCCTTAATGTTTGATAGAGAGAAGCTTCACTATTTGTTAACCTTGGGTAACTTCCTTTTAAATTACATTTTTAGCTTTGACAGTCTGTGTTCCAAGGTCCTATGGAGGCCTATTCCTGGTCCAAATGCCATGATATTTTAAGTAAACCAAAAAAATTATACGTTTCTTCAGATACACCTGATTCATTTAATGGCCATTCGATAATATATTGCCTTAAACGCTTTCCAATTAGACAATTCTCATTTTGCGGCACCTCAGAGAGTTCCATACCCACCATCAGAACCATTCCTCCACCCCTCCCATAAATTTACTTTTCCTTGAGAGTCATAGGAAGTCTCAGACAACATGGTGTTAAGGTAGTAGTTAGGCCTCAGAAGGGGTAAAACTTCCATATTTAGTAGTTTTCATTGCTCGGTCAATGTTAAATCTACCTGTCAATTTAAGGAGATCTGTTATTTTATGCCTTTAGTCCCCTAAGTGGAGAATCATTTACTTTATAATTTGAGGCACAGTGATCTAGAAATTTGTTATAAAAAAGGCCACCAAGAGGAAGTATGTGCTCTACTAAGCATGCCATGTAAAGTATATGTATTTTACTTTTTGGGGGGGAAAATCATCTGTAGTTCTCCTAGACATATTAATGAACAGTGACTATCACCTTAGGAAGCATCTTTTGAACTCTTAGACACCAAATATAAAAACTTAACGATCAATTCTGGAAATGGCAACCAAATGAAAGGTATTGCTAGGTCCTTGCAAGAGCAAGCCCAAGCCCACGAGAGGGAGAGAAGGGAAATGATCTCCAGTGGGAAGACATGTGCACACCCACACATTCACAGACAGCCACACTAACACAAACCCTTCATAATCCACTCATGTTCCTTCACAGATGTGTATGTCTGGATACCTCTGATTGTTCTCATTGCTAAATTTAGCTCTATACTTCTTCTTTTTTTAAAAAAAAATAGATTTTTATTTCATAGAGAGGAAGGGAGAGGGAGAGAAAGATAGAAATGTCAATGATGAGAATCATAGATCAGCTGCCTCTTCTACACCCCTTCCTGGGGATTGAGTCCGCACTCAGGCATGTCACCTGTTCGGGAATTGAACCATGACCTCCTGGTTCATAGGTCAATGCTCAACTACTGAGCCACAACAGCCAGGCTAGCTACACATTTCATAGGACCTATTCATTTAGCTATTTTTTCTATGTCAACAATTTATGCAGAGTTCTCCACTCTAAAGCTTACAAGCCCTAGAACACACCAGACAGTTCATAGTTCATAGGCCGCGTGCACTTTTGTTTCTTGGGAGATTGTTTTATGTACTCCAAACTTGTAATTATAGGAATTACAAATGAAATAAGCACCACAAGGCAGAAAATTTCCCTGCCTTTGAAAATTCAGTTAAAAGTTTTAAGATGTTTTGAGCAAAGAAGTCATTTTAAAAAGCTTTTAGGTGTGTGCAAGAAAGTTGGAACAGTTTAGGTAGGAAAATATCAACCTTCTATAAGCTTCTGCATGACTCTGAGTTCCCATTCCATGAAAAAATGGTTTTAGTGGCTAATTACAAATATGACAGATACAAAAATGACAGGGACAAGCTCCATGGGTAGGTCTATTTCTAAAGACGAGGCCTGGCTGTGCATCAAATGATCAATGAAAAGATGCACATTTGTATGTTTTAAGTTAAAATAACAATTTTAAGGTGTATGCATTATGTTTTCAAGACTCCCTGCATTTAACTGCATTTTTCCCCAATTAACCAATTACCTAATAGTCTGGATTTTATCACAAAAAAATTGCTTCTAATGTAATTAATTTATGCTAGTCCCGTTCCACAAAGTTCATGTGTCACTTTACAAAAACACATTTTATAAGAATATGTAAAATGTATCAATCTGTAAAATGGACATAGATTTTATAAAAAACTATAAAGTCAAAGCTAAGATTTTAAGAGAACTGGGGGGAAGGAAGGGGAAAGAATAATCAAGTCAGTTGTATTTAGTTCTGAGGTTTACGCCAAAGCAAAGAGAAATTGACCACAAGATCTGCAAAGAGAGAAATTGACCACAAGATCCTTAGCATCCAAGTTAAAATAAAAGTAACATGAAAGCAGACTAGATGCTCAGGCAAAGCACAGCTTCTCTTATTGAGAAAAATCATCTGATAAATAGCAGGGCTATCTGATATGGTTGTTTGGGCACTAAAATATAGCTGACATAAAATACATGTTCAAAGTGCTTAAAAAAATAAAAGGATTTTATCCCCTGGCAGTATTTTAATGTAAATTTCCAACATAACTTTTATTCTAATAGCACCTCCTTTTTGAGCACTTACCCATTACCAGGAACAGTTCACAGCTGCTGGGCATGACCTCAGTATTCCTCTCTGCAACCACAGAGGATAGGTGGTATCACTAATGCCATCGTAATGCCATCGTAACAGGAATCTCCGTCCCAGAGGTGAAGGTTGTAGGAGTAGCCAGCTGAAGACCAGCCCCATGATGCCATATTCTCCACCAGCCTGAAATTTACCTCCTCAAGCATTTTTAGTTCATATCACTGATCTTCATCCCTGGACAGTTTCTTTAAGCTGCTTTTGCTTGTAGTTATAATCCACATGTGTCAAACACAAGGCCCGCGGGCCAAATCCGTCCCGCCAGGCCTTGCAATGTGGCCCGCACCGCGCTATCATCACTGCACTCCGCTGCGTTTCCATCACAATGACAGTTTATGACTGTTCAGTAAACCATTCGGCCCGCGATTTAGGCTGGATTTTAGATTTTGGCCCCTTCTCTGATTGAGTTCGACACCCCTTTTAATCAAACCAGCTGGGCAGTTAAAACAATTTTTTTCACCTCCCCTTCCTCCCATCCCAGAGATTCTGATTCATTGGTCTGGAAAGGAACTTGGCATCAGCATTTAAAAAAAAAATACTCCTAGGTTGAGAACCTGGAGGTGAGGCAAGGACTTCTTTATCTTCTTTATTCTTGGTGATAAATGATGCTTGTGCAAAATTAATGTCCTATTTCTCATCTCCTGGGCTTACTGTCATCACAGGATGTGACATAATCTTTCTCTCCTTTCCACCACCACTACCCCTACTACCCCTGTCTCCCCCCCACCCCCCCTACACACACACACACACACACAGATGATCGGGCAAGACAACTGAAGTTGATTCAGTCTTCTTTTTGTAGGCACTGTCAACATCTAGCAACAATTTTCTTAGAACCATTGTTCACCTCAAAGCCAATGTTCTGTGGTATTTAATTATCAACATTTCTGATGAATAGAGTGAAGGTCTGGGTTTTCTGGATAGTTTTTTAGCTTTCATTTTATTTCCATGGAACAGGTTAAAATTACATTGATGTTGTTAATACTTGATCGCTACACCAAGTATCTAAGTTGTTGGTTTAGATTTCATTGATGGCTTGAGAAAATATTTCATATGTCCGTCTTTAAAAAACAAACAAAAACTTCTAAGTAAAATTAAAAATTAAAAAAGTCAGATAGAAAGGTGGTTAGTCATGTTATCAAAAGATGTTTTGTTTATTGAAGGCTAATGAGTCTTAAATATTGAGCCACACTAAGACATTTCAAAAGCGAGTCAACTGAGAAAATTACAGATTACTTCCAAATTTTGAAATCATATCTATTGCATAAAGAAATCAAACAAGGAGATAAGTGATTGATAAGGGATAGATAAAATAAAAAATAAAAATGAAAGTAATTTTAATTGAGCCCAGAGTACCCTAAAATAGGCTTGGTATTATTAACCTGAATGCTTTGCCTTATTTTGATAGTGCCCAACAAGATTGAGTTGTAGAAGTGAAGTCATGTGGAAGTGCCTGGATTTGTGTCTGGCACATGGTAGGAGTACAAGAAATATTAGTTGAGTGTGAATAGCGGTGGTGATAGAGCTGTGTTTATTGGAAACCAATGGATGTCACCCCTACCTTAGTTGAGAGAGACCAGCTTTTCCTTTTTTTTTTTTTTCTCTAGTAAAGGAGAGGGTCCTTCACCTGGTCCTGTGCCAGGACCCCAAACTATTAATATCAGCTACCATAAATAACTTGTGTCAACACTGACAATACTCTAGACTAGGGGTGTCGAACTCAATCAGAGAAGGGGCCAAAATCTAAAATCCAGCCTAAATCGCGGGCTGAATGGTTTACTGAACAGTCATAAACTCCATTGTGATGGAAACGCAGCGGAGTGCAGTGATGACAGCGCGGTGTGGGCCACATTGCAAGGCCTGGCGGGACGGATTTGGCCCGAGGGCCTTGTGTTTGACACATGTGCTCTAGACCATCAAGTTTTACTACTGTCAGAGTCTGTGAACAAGCAATGCGTTTTTAAGTACAGCATATGTGCTTCGAGTTCTCCAAGTTCTCTGAACTATGAGACAATAAATCTAAGAACAAATGGTTGTTCTAGTAGATCATTGTTGCTCAGCATTTGCCAAAAGGCAAATAGCTGATTAATTGCTCTCCCCACTCTCTGCTATTGTCAAAGGAGTGCTAGGAAAAGGCTCCTCACTAACACTGCCCTCGGTCAGCCTCTCCCCAAATCAGGTAGAGCATGTGGTAAACTGACCTACTGTCACTGAATGTCAACACAAGCTGCTCCCAATTCAGCTGGCTAATTAGATTGAGTAGGGGTTGGGGAATTTATCTTGAAGAGATGTTTGTACATTTGCACTTTACTTAAGACTGAAGACATTTCACAATTCTGGTCCCTGATTAGGGATGTGTGGGAGTCTCCAAGCAATTGTGGTTTCAGTCTCTCTAAGCTTGTACTGATGACAATGGGGAAAAATATTAATTCTCCCCCAACCCCTTTCCTCACCACATCAGCGTAAACTCAGTCCAGACATAAACCTGAGATTTTGCTTAACTCAAGTTTGTACCATTGAAAAATGTAACATTGATAATATCTGGAATTCACTATTTGTACAGAACCATTGTGTCCAATAATAGTAATGGTCTTTCTAACTTAAATTCAATCTATGACCCCCAAATGCAGCTGAGCTCCAAGATTCCTTTTAGATCTTTAATTGTATGTTTTCAACTACTTGTCTTTTTTCAATATAGTGTTAGTGTTTTAAAATAGTGGTTTCCAACTGGGAGTGATTTTCCCTCCTGGGGACATCTGGCAATATCCGGAGACACTGTTGTCACAACTGGTGGTGGGGTGCTACTGGCATCTAGTGGGTTACTGTGGACTAAACATGTCTCCCCAAAACCCACATGTTCACATATGTCTTTCATATGTATTTGGAGGTGGGGCCTTTGGAGGTAATGTGGTCATGAAACCCTATGAAAAGATTAGTGCCCTGATGAGAAGAGCTTCCGTGTGAGGCTACCATGAGAAGACACACATGTCTAAGCCAGGAAAGGGGTCTTG